TGTATGAATATTGGCATTTCATATACGAACGAGCACATATAATCTATTCACAATTGAGTTTGTTTGATAATTTAGGCCTCTCGTTGAAGTATCACTATTTTACGGAGTGTGGAATTGCGATTGCGTGTGGGCGGAGAAATAACAAGTAAAGAAATCGTGAAACTAAAGGCTCCAAAGCTCTTTTCTGGCGCGATATTTTTAAGGATATCATGTGAAGCCAAGTCTGTAGGGTGTGATGATATAAGCAAAGCCTCCCGAGAGCACACTCCCCGGAGCACAATACCGTACAGTATGATACTGCTCTTTCCAGAACCACCAAAACCTCAAAATCGGGAATTACTCCCGAGTGAGGGCCGATGACCGATGACCCATCCCCTGCAGTGAGTGCCCGCCCGGAGGGGCAACGCCTAACCAGGTTATGTCGCCGAGCCAGCGCCTATACGATTGGTCTGAAGGGTTCCGTGCTAATTTCTGATGGGCTTACTGTGGTGACCCCCTAGCGAGTCGGGGGACCGAAGGAAAAAAGGAAGGAAGGAGTACTTGGCTCTTGGGGTATGAACTCCGTAGTGCTGAGCTGTGCTCGGGTGGGAACGTGGGTGATCGGACAACCATGGATTAGGAAGTATCAAAGCTTCTTTGTTTGAGCAATTTTCATGCCGAATTCGTTCTCTTGATTCCTACGAGGGTAGTAATAAGGTCAGGCCTCCGGAATCCCTGACCGTCGCATCAGCCACGCCAATACCCGAGTGTACCTGGGCTGAGAATGGGCCGGTTGAGGGCTTTGTGATATGGAATCGGCGCATAGGGCAGTTGCACGTGAGGTGAGTGGATGCGTCGGCATGATGTTTTCCCATTCTGTTCTGCGCATCGTGGGTTACCGGTATGGTAGTGGGGTGGAATGTGATGAGGGTGGGAGCTGTGGAGCACAAGTACAGGTATCTAGAAAACCTACCGTATCGCATACCAGCCAATAGCCGGCCCTCCTTACTCGGACCCTCCATAGGATACCGTCAACGTTTTTTATACAAGCCAACTCAATATTTCACTCTCAGCCTTTATGTTACACCCCAATATAGTGATTAATGGTAGTTGTGATCATACTTTTAGTTCCAACCCATCCATTCCCCGAAATAATTGACGAAGGAAGCCGGGCGATATGAACGGAACGGTAAGAAACAAAACAGTACAGTATGATACTCTATCTGGTGAGCGTAGGACAGCTTTCTGGTACTGTTTGTGGGTTGGCGGCATTACCGACCGGAGGGAGAGAGCAGCGAGGGCGGCTGGCAGCACGTGGGTTTTTGCCTATACTGTAGTGCAGTATATGAATTAACTTATCATGCATGGTGAGTTAGAAGCTTTCTCTTCCCATTGACGGATGCGGAAGCAGAACGGCCACTGGAGCGAATTCTTTCGGTGGGAGCTTGTGGTGATTTGGGGGTGGGCTGATATGCTGTGGCACTATACCCATACCGTATGTGCTGTCTTGATCTCGGTTTTGGGGGGGCAGCAGCCAGTGTCTTGTGATTTCATGTGAATGTGGTACTGTGCCGATATGTAGGATTGAGGTTCGTTGGAGCACCAACTTGGCTTTTTTTTTCCCCTTGCACTTCCTCGGGGAGTTACTGGAGACACCTGTAGATTCAGAACGGTTATTAGCCCATAACTTCAATTCACTTACGGTATTTTGAAGAGAAAATTTGGAAATAAACCTCCCCCCGTCGGTCAAATGCATAACAAAGCTCTGGCCCCATAATGAAGCAAACCAGGAGCACTACCGGCAGCGGGAGGGTGGATCCTGCAACTTCATAGGTTGGAGATCGCGGAAGAGAGAAAAAGTGCCAGAACAAAGTGAGCCGTTAGAGGAAACTGAGCCTCTCTCTCAAGGGGCCTTAGATTGAACTTCGACATACTGGTCGTCATCTCAATAAATACAGCACAATTCGCGCTTACTCCCCCGGTGTCAATCACAGAAGAGGCAACTTCTCCAGCGGACCTCAAGATTTTTGAGTATCCTTTCCGGCCTTTAACTTGCCTAATCCGTCGCTCAGTGTATCGGTGTTCCTTAATTCCCACAGCTACCGTATTCACTACGGAAGCCGACAGCCCCGAGTCCTGCAGGCGTAGGGGGGATAACCCTTGTCCGAGCGCAGTAAAACCATGATATGATAGACTTTACAGTAGCTTCCCATACCACGTTAACCCCCCCCGCACAAAGTTGAGCTAGGCAGCGCTCGTGCAGCAGCGCTACGACAGCGCAACTAGGCGTGCGAAGCCCGAGTTCGGAGAGCAGTTAGTCATGTGAGCTTGATCCCCGGGAATTCCAGCTGTAGGAGGTTGGTTGGCACTGCACTCGTGAGACGACTGCCACACCTTCTCCCATCGCGGGACTGAACCTTTACCCCGGGTTGTTGGCGTGCGTTCCGGAGATTCCGGTTATTGTGCCTTCCCCTCTTGCCCTCGAGTACCGGTAGGTTGGTGCGATAGCTAACTGGTATGAAAATGGAACGGATTATTACCCCGCGTAGGTATGACCGTTTCACCGCCATCCCACCCAGTCGGGCGATGGCACATGCACTGTTTTTAGTGCAGTGCGGATACAGTGCTGGCATTTGGAGCATCTGATGGGTTGATTAGGCTGATTGAAGGAAGGGTGGTACTGTACCTGTATATCACTTGTAGGCGACATAAACAATGTATGCATTGACACATGACTGGTACGGCAAGTGGTGCTAATTACTGGTAGGGAGGTTCTAAGTTCTCGGCATATCGACGACGTGTAGCTCAATTTTTCAACCACGATTTTCAAGTTGCCAACCAAGGTATACCTTTTGGATCTCAATAATTGCCAGACACCCTTTTCGCGAAGAAAGTACACCGTGTGCAGTGCTCGCCATTGTATCGAGAGCTCCAAACCCCTCGCCCTTAGATGAACTAGCGCTGCAGTTCCCCTACGGTACTTGCACTCGTACGACCTTGGCGACAAAAGAAGCTGACACCCGGTAGGTTCCCCATATAAAATACCCATTTTCAACAGGCGGCCACCCGCTGCCATAACCCCAGAGAAACCTAGTGATTTTCTGTTTAGAAGAACCACATAATGATTAGCCATGTTGCGGGAACGAGCCCAAGAATTCCAAGCACTAGAGCCGTGGGTGACTAGCCCAAAAGCAGTGCCAAGGCAGGCAACTTTGTATGGGATTTCCACATGGCAACCACGCCGGCTAGCTTCATTAATTTACTCGTACCACTACCGGCAATGCCAAAATTCCCGGCGATTCTCTTCCAGCTGGTTACTGTTTAGAGGAGAAACTTGGTTGTGCACCTTTGCGCTGGTTGGATAAACTCGTGGATTTTGTATTGGAAACTCTGGGAGGGGTTGGTTTCTTTTGTGGCCGCCAAGTTCGGGGTCTGAAGTCCTTCTGTAGGGTGGAGCGAGAAGGATGCCGGTATCGTAAAAGCCCTTTCAATTTAGATTGTGCGAGTAAATACGGTACCCTGGAGTAGTACTTGTGCTCTATAGTATCCGATCGTCAATGCATAAGGGGGTAGCAGATCCTTCACGTACTCGTACAAGTACTGGTACTCGTATTAGGGTGCTGGGATGAGCACTGCGCCGTAATTGTAGGATAAAATGAATTCGCTTTAGGCCTGTGATCAACAGCGCTAGCGAACTTGTATCAACACCTGCTGTTACTCAAGAGCTGTATGCGAGAAATATGCTTGCGGCGGTTGACATCTGTAGGCAATTGTCCTTGAACTCAACTGACCTCCGGTAGCAGCACCCTTTCGATGAATGAAGATGCAAGTACTGTACCGGTACAGTATGGTATCGCGTTGGCTGTGAGGTATGATACAAGGGTAAGCTTTTGCGAGACGCTGTGAGGTTGTTATCATACGGTCGGCTATGGTGGGTTGTCCACAGAAGCAGGTGGAGCGGGCCCGTGCTTCTTTTCCACTGAAATTGAGTGCGAATATTTGGACTTGAGTACTAGTACCGTACCGGTACTGTACTGTACAAGCAGAGCAAGGCGTATCCCCTGCCTACAGTCTTGCTGTCAGAAGGGAGTCCTCGAGAAATTTGGCTGTTGGGGTTTCCCACTCGCAAGAGTGAATGAAACATTGAGCTTACTTCATCAGCCATCCATACTCGAACACATACGGTAGACTGCATTATCGGTGCTGAAGGAAGCTCCTTGGTATGTTTGTACAGTACAGTACTACGGTAGTGAGGTGCTGGTTAGATCAAAACTATACTGCTCGTGGAAAATGTGGACGTTATTGGGTCTGTGCAACACTCGGTGATGAAAGGAGGCAGAGCGGGACGGGAAAAAGAAAAAGGGACATGGCATTTAACTTGGAAATTTATGTTTCAAAAGGGGTTTCCCATCCCCAATTAACAATACCCTATGTCGGGAACATTTGGAAAACCATCAGAATATTGGCCACGATAGAGTTTCTTATTTTACCCCACTGCGCGTGAATTTGCTGCTTGGGTTTGATTCCAAGTGGAGGTCGGCAGAGTCATTAACAGTCGCCTTCCTTAACGATGATCATAAAAGCTGGAACCCGGGACTGGCAATGGATGGCGAAAGGGGTTTCTTCCACAACAAGCTTTTCGGGAGCACTTCCGGATTCAGCTCAGCCGTACTTCGGCGCACGACCTAGATTAATCTATCGTCTCCGAGACATAGGCCCCCAGACAGTAGATCCTGAACCATGATGCTACTTAGCGCCTCGGCGGATCGAGAGGCATGTCTCGCAGGGCAAGTAGGAGGGAGGGCAGAGATTTTCTTATGTACCCGCGAGTACAATACCCTTCCAGCTCTCTTTCCAAGATCCAAGAACTTGAACGCACAGAAATTTCGCAGACAAATTCTATCCAGTGCGAGTCCATTGTGTTGGTTATTGCTTCTGAGTGACCTTGCAACTTTGTCCTCTTCCCATATCTAGATTGACCGCATCTTGATCTTGGAGCCTCTACGAACTTCAAGTTGAAGATGGCAAACGTGGATTCTGGGGGAGCGGTCGAAACGAATTCGATGGAGTCATCCTCAGAGCATAGTGGATCGCTGCCTTCCTCTCGACACGAAAGGCAGAAAGTTATTGGGCCATTGGAATGGGAAGGACCCAATGATCCAGCAAATCCGTGGAACTGGCCTGCGTCGAAGCGGTGGTACGGAACTATTGTGCCCGGGTCTTTGTGTTTTCTTGTGTAAGTGGCTCCGTGATGTATGACCTCCGTTGAAGACATGCTAAATCTACCACCATAGAACATTTGCGTCTTCGGTTTATGTTCCGGGAGTCCGTGAAGTAGCAGCAAAATTCGATGTCTCTGTCACAGTAGCATTGTTGGGGATTTCGATGTATGTTGTCGGACTTGGATTAGGGTAAGTTTATCCGGGTAGATAGATGTAGTATGCAGTGCCTCTGATACTAAGTTTTCATAGACCAATGTTTAGCGCTCCGTTATCGGAGGTCTTTGGCAGGAAAATGGTGTATTTTGTCAACCTGCCAATTTTTCTGCTTTTCACCATGGGCGCTGGTCTGGCACAGAACATCCAGACGTTGGTAATTTGCAGGATGTTTTCCGGTATATTCGGAGGGCCTGCGGTTGCTGTCTCGGCTGGCTCTTTTGTTGACGTCTGGGATCTCAAATCGTCCGGGTTGGCCGTCTCGGTACAAGCAATTGCTAGTTTTATGGGCCCCGCTCTAGGTACTGTCGGCAACTTGTATCTACGGAAGCTCGTGCAAAATTTCTAACATTACTACAGGTCCCATTATCGGTGGATACTTAGCAGAATACGAAGGTTGGAGGTGGACCCTTTGGATCATAATAATCCTTGGAGGCGCATTGATGGTTCCATTGTACTTTATGGAAGAGTCCTACAAACCCGTCATCCTTAAACGCCGAGCGCTTGCCCGTGGGGAGGAACTCCCGCCTAAACCGGACCCAAAGACAGCATTGAAACTTATCTTCACAATCACACTTGCCAGGCCGATAATGATGTTGTTGGAGGAACCGATTGTTCAGGCTGTTGCACTTTACTCGTCATTTGCCTTTGCAGTCCTTTTTGGATTCTTTGAGGCATATCCTGTTGCGTTCCAGAAGGAATACGGATTTGCTCTCGGTGAGACGGGGTTGTGCTTTTTGGGGGTTGCTGGTGGCCTCATCATTGGGTGCATAATCTATTTGATCCAGGACAGGCTCGTCTACGTCCCTGCTCTGAAAAAGTATGGTGGATCACCTCCAGCGGAGATTAGGTTAGTCTCAGCAATGATTGGAAGCTTTCTGATGCCCATTGGCTTGTTCTGGTTCGCGTGGACAGCGAGAAAAGATGTACACTGGATTTTTCCTGTGCTTGCTGGTGTCCCGTTCGGGAGTGGCCTTGTGCTCATCTTCGTAAGTTCCCATCCCCGGATCTCGGCTCATCGTGGCGGGAGAGTGGCTAATGGAGGTGCAGCTCACGGCTATCATGTACATTTTGGAGGTTTACCCACCATTAGTCGCGGCTTCTGCCATTGCAGCTTTGGGTTTATTGCGTTATCTTATGGCAATGGCGTTCCCCCTCTTTACCGTTCAAAGTATGTGGCGTTCATCTACCCTGCCTAGTTCTTTTGCTAACCACCCGATAGTGTATGATAGCCTCGGGATTGCGTGGGGAACATCGCTCTTTGGCTTCATTGCACTGGCTATGGCACCTATCCCGTGGGCTTTCCAGCGCTGGGGTCCTCAGATTAGGGCTATGTCGAGATATAACGCCATTGTGGAGTAAAGTTTCCGAACGACGCCTCTGGAACGGTGGATACTGTCTATAATTTTTGATTTTTGCATAACGGACTTTGGATACTTCTCTTTCTCGCTATACACGGTTTTCCATTATTTTTTTTATTACGGTATTTTATTTTTCGATCTTGGGGCTATTTGTCATTGGGAGTTTCTGGTATGATGTTACGTGTTTTCTTGGGATCAAAAGTGGTATTATTTACCTGGAGGGGGGGAGCGTCTGGTTGTGAATTCGGCCGTCAAGTCAACATACTAAAAGAGGTTCGATTTGAAGTAGAATGCACTAATAATTGTGATAATACCAGAGTTTAAGTAGAGAAATCCCAGTCGATATACCGACTTTAGATCATTTGCTACCCCTACTCTTATCAACCGGTCTTGAATCTGTCTGGTTACTGTCAATGAACATTGGACAGAACGAATCTTTGGAGGAACCAGGGGCACTCATTGCGATCTTGGCTTTGGGTCCGTGCCATCCTGGGGCATGACCTAATCTTAATCCTGTGATCGTCCGAATCATAACCTGTGATTTGGGGAGGCTAGAAAAGTCTCTGCACGCCTTAACTCCTATTACTGGTACGAGGGGTGTCGGAAAAGCCGACTACACACTCCACTACACCGGGTTAGCAGCGATTCAGCTGCCTCATCGCGACCGGCAAGTTGTTATGACGCGATTTATCTATCTGGGCAACGCCTAGCGCGAAGTGGGTAAACTATGTCAAGGCAATGCAGAATATAGTCAAACCGAGATTACCGAGCACACTCCAATCTCGTGCAGGATTTGCTTGAATATGTACCTAGGATTGTTGAGGGTGTATGAATGGCTCTATGAATGGCTCCCGGAGGAATGACTTATCCGTTATTCTTTTGGCTCCTAGGATGATAATTGGAAGTCCTCATCTTCGACAGAAGACCAAGACTTTTAAGTGGCCTTGGCCGGGGAATGTGGCTTAGTCCATCGATGTGAGTTTATCCCCCGATTTTTGTATAAAAACGTACTCTCAAACGACGTGCAGCTATTTGAAGTATGATAAGAGAATGAAGGTAGGAAGGGGTGATATATTACCTGTAGCAAATAGAGGAGACGATCCGTTTTAAGTAAAGGGGGTTGACGTGTATCTCTTGGATGCTAGAGAAATGGATACTGGGGCGCGGGCTCAGTCCCGCTTGGTAGAGTTGGAAAAGGACACCTTATGCCCGAGCAGCGCCCACAATATGTAGTATGGCGAGTATTGGGATGAAATACCTACGCGGCCCAAGATTACAAATGGGCTACTATCGAACCCTTTTGTTAGGATCATGAGATAGTGAAGTATCTTAAAAAACGTAAATTTTATCAAAAGGGAAACCCCCCTGACCATTGAGTTTAAAGTCCTTGAGATATTCAATCTAATTTATTATCCCAGAGCAGCTGAACCGGCATGTATCCAGGTACCCGATTCAACCCAAGCAAAGGTGACGTTTTCTCTTTTGGTCAACATCCTTCATTTTCCCCCTCCACCATCACCAAAGTGACAGTATGTTGATACTTCCTAACTTGGACTCCGGGATACCAACTGCCGGGCAAGAAAAATACAACAGTTTTGTGAAGATTGGTACTTTTGCAGTCAACATGAAACGAATGGATAGTGTATTCAGCATCAATGATTGCTCTGTCTTCCTAGTTGGCGGAGCTGTAGAGGCATTGGGGCCGGCATGCAAGCTTGGTTGTAGCTATGTCTCCTGGGAAGTTTCCTTTTCTAGTTATCCTACAATCTAATAAGAGCATTCCGGAGATCAAAAGTTGGGCTGACCGCAGCCTTTAATTTTGCCAAACCACCCCCAACACAGGGTTCCGCAAGGTTCTGAAACAGCTTTGAGTATTCCTATTTTTTAATTAGCTCATGGGGGCCAATCCAAAAGATCTTGGGCATCCCTGAGTCAATGGGTAAGTTATGTTTTAATCCTTTGTCTTTTACTGCTGCGTTCAGCCACATCCCAGACATCTTCAAGGGCTTTATTAGTAGGTATCTGATATTTGATATTCGGAGACACATCTGTTCGGTGGCTGCCCGGAGGGTTTTTCTGATACTGTATGGTGATAGTTTTGCTGACACGGAGCTGATAAAATGTGCACCAGATACCTTTTGAGGAGCGATTTTAGGAATGCTACGATACGCAATTCACGACCAGGAATTGCGAAGACAGGCACGTGAATAGAGGTCAAGTGCTGGGCCAACGGTGTTCATGACTCATTGTCTACAATTGCTTCTTACACCTCTGTCACGAGCCCAGCCTCCAAGTGGAAATATTGATGCTGAAATTCTGCTTTGCAGAATATTTCGCTATCAGCCCTCTATTCCACCTAAACTACTTCCTCCCACAGCTGACCTCTTTTAACTTAGTATCAGCATCAGGACCTTTGAAAAAATAGCTCTCCAGGAATTCCGTGACTAACACCAGTGAGGTGTCCGCCACTTCGTCTGTGTTCAACCGCAATCCTCTCACTCTCCCTTCTGCCACCACATCTTCAGTAGATCATTACTTGAACTTCCAAAATTGCAAGATTTACAGCCCCACCGGCTGTGTAGCAATAGCATGTCCCTGTCCTGGGCATGGCGGGGATCGTGCAGGGGGGGGGGTCGTGGTGCGACGGATTGGCTCGGCCGCTTATGCCCGCTCCATGGTTTATGCAGTTCTAGGAACTAAAGAACTGGCAGGGGGGGTTCTTCTGGGGACAGAGGGGAAATGAGCCATGTCTATTTAGTTTTCTCAGGTGAGTCTTTCCCCTGCCACATTGGTGTTCTCTAGGCTCGACAGTGCATGGTGGAGTCAAGTGATGGCGGGGGACTTATGATAAGCCTGTTTTCTGAAAATTCTGACCGAGTGTAGCTGTAACGCTGTTTGGTGGTGCCCAGGGTGGCTTTGTTTTCCTTCTTCGAACCTCAGTTTTACCTTCTTGAACTGAATTTAGTGTGAAAGTCTTAGAAAATACCTATCAGCAGGAACACTTGAAGTGGTACGGCTCCTGAGGGCGTGGAGATAATGGTGCTTGTATTACAGTAACTTAAGCTAGAGCGAGTACCCGTGGGGTGCCCTCACCTGGGTCGCCACCCGTACCGTAGAGTGGAGGAATCTGTGTCATAAGTCACTGGAGGTAAGGAGACGCATGTCTCTCATTACCGCAACTTTGATATGTGGTGCAAAGTCAGTCGTTGCGAAGAGACAGGGGTCTAGGGTGTCCTGGTCATTTTACAACAGCTTTAAGGCCAGATCTTGTCCGCTCCATGAGCAGACAAAGTTCGTGACTCGGGAATTGTCTTGAGTGTCAATGAATTCTCCAAAGTGGACTGCATGATATATTGAAACTAATGTTATTATTATTTTTTCCCCCTTCAACTCGGCCAGTCATGCATTAATTTAACGTGTTTATGGAAGTCACAGTATAGCGGGTAATAGCGGGCCGTGTAGCTCTAGATGTGCTGAACTTGATATCTTGATCCCGAGACCACGAGTTATATAAGGTGACTTTATGATAATTGTACTGATATATCCCAATCCAGCAGAGCAAACCATTACCTCACGAGCTACGACCAATATGCGTTCTATCTATCCAATATTCTATAACTCCTGGAAACCGTCTGCGGCATTAAGTTATATAAAATACTCAGGCGGCCGAGTTGAAGCTGGACACCTAAGGTGACAATTCTCATGAAAAGTGTTCGGATTCAGCTCTGCCGCGCGAGTATCCGATGTCCAAAAACTTCCATGCACAAAAAAACAGAAAGATAGCGCATGGCTTAGGGCAGTCTAACAAAACTGCATGAAATAAACATTAAAAATAACCAGAAAGTTAGTACGTGTGGGGAAGTATAGGGGATATGTTAAATCTCCTGTAAGAAGTGCTTTACTGTCTTTTTTTTTTTTTTTAGGTTTAGTCACAGAATTTGGATACACGTATTCTTTTTTTGGGATAGAGAAATACGTTGAAAATAAATAGGATAAAAAGTTATTGATACTACTAAGGCCCAAGTACCAACAGGCTATAGCGGGGACGCCGGATACGGTACGGGACAGAGATCCTCCCGTAACCCACCGTCGCGCAGGAAAAACGAAGGCCTAAATCCCTTCGAGGGCTGTATTAAACCGAACTCCTACTCCATCCCCAAGACCTTCCCTCTAGTAAAGCTCCCCAAAAATGCGCCTACAGGTCACCACCCCAAAAGCCATAACACCCTTCAAAACCTACCCGTTAAACTCCACCGCCCTGATAATAACCGAACAAAATGCTGTCGGCAAGATTCCCAACATAATCGTAAAGCGCTATCCCACAAAGTCCTGATCATAGACACGGGCCTTGGCGGCCTCTATCCCCCCACGACCCCCCACCATCACACTACCTCCCCTCCCTCCGCACGTTCTTAGAGTGCGTTCCGCAGCTGTGGCCTTACAACCGCACCCAGGATCGTATAATCAACCCGGGAGGGTGCCTCCCCTACGAGATTATGATAACTCCCCACAATTTCGACAATATCGGTGGCACGGTATAGTTCCCCGACGCACTCATCGGGGCGTCGGCCGGGCGCCAGAATTCATACTTGCGAAGCCAGAAGGGGGAATGGCCTGAACGACGCGGTCGGCATACCCTACCCGGAGCACAAGGTTGGGATCTGGCTGGAGGATTGGTGTGGGTTTCCGCTCGAGACTGGAGGAGCCAATGATAGTGGGATGGTGGTCATTCATACCCCGGGACATACACCGGATTCAATAACCTTATGGGATGAGGTTGAGAACACGCTGTTCACGGGGGACCTTATTTGCCGGGGTATTGTGCCGAATTTCTTCCCCAGCGAGGCAAGTATTGCGGACTATCTGGTGTTGGAGGGTTCATCGATAAGAGGCTTGAGGAGATGGGATGTGTGCCTTTGGTGGTGCCAGGACATTCGGAACTGATGGGCTGGATGGCATTTCTGCGCTATTGGAGATTCAGGAGCTGGTGCCTAAGGTTTTGAGGGGAGAGAGGTAGAAGGGGAGAAGAGGGTTGAGGAGTAGGGGTTTAATTTCCTGGTTCGCGCGTGGGGAGGCGTGCTCGGTTTTGGGGCCTGATGAGATTTGGGAAGTTGGAAGGAGAGAGGTTGGGGCTGGGGTTGCTTGATGCTGGAGGTTGTCTTTGGACAAATTCCTTGATAGAAGGCTCACGTGATAACAGGAGAGTGTTTGGCGTTTCATTGTTTCAAGCGATAACGATTGATTGTATGATATTTGGCAACTTGATTCCCTTAATCATTGTTCATGATGAAAAATATGGGGGTATCGGTGATGAAAGGATTTACATATAATGTGCTCGCGAAATTCGACTCCTTTGGTGCAATATCGTCAGTATTCACAACTTATCTGGATGGGACTGAATTGTTGTTCAAATACAACAAAGCCTAAGAAAAAGGTCCGGATAATCGCTGACCAGCATACACATTTACAAACAATACCGCAATATTTCAAGCAGCCACCATGTTTCCACGATACCTCCACTACAGCCTGGTGCTTCCGTGGCTGCAGTTTCCCGCACTGCCAACTTTCCTTATGAGCACCGTACTACACCTTCCTGCTGGATATATTTTTATAACAGTGCTGGACGCACTTGCGGTTGTACTTCTATTGGACACAGCGGTGGGGGTCTTATACCAAAAAACCAACATTTACTTTTTCGGCATCCTGGCGGTGATACTCGACGTCGCATTGCTAGTATGCACTAGCATATCACTTACTCCGATACGACTCGGGGAAATAGACACTCCGTTCAAAATACTGCTGGTGATATGCGCAGCATTCCACTTCCTTAAGAGGTTTGGAGTCGAAAATCGGGTGATATACCTTGTAGATTTCCTTGTCTTTACTGGAACTCTTCCAGAATCCTTCCCCCCCATTTTCAACTTCGAGTTCGGCATCCTCATTGCCCTCCTAGTGTGTGTGTATATGTGTCGATATCTTCCCCGGTTTATGAGGAGGATAGGACCAGCCAGTGTGGGGATCATGGCCACAATAATTTTCGTCCTAACACTCATCCACTTCACTCTGGCGCTGTGGGATTACCTCGGCGTGAGCCCTTCAACGGTAACTTACACACTAGGAGCACTATGGATCCTGATCATCGCACCGGGGTATAACCTCCAGCGCTTCTTCTCAACGACCCCACTCGTGTTGAGTATTACCGGTGGGGACATGGTCGGCGCTGCACCGGAGGCTGCTGAGCAAGAGCGGTCGAGGGGAGACATTGGAATAATTCTTAACACGAGACCTCTGATTGGCATTGACACTCCCTGGGTTATTCTAGACGACAACGAGGACCTGGATAGCAGCTCAGATTCTGACAGCGATTCCTCAAACCCGAGGATTCCACCAGTTTTCCAGACCATCCGAAATCGGAGAACTCCTAGGGCTATTGGCGACCCTATACCCTTACCACCTTCACCTGGCGAGGTTGCAGAAGCGGAGGCCTCCCGCCGGAGGGCTCGCAGGTACCAGACGGGTGATCCACCTACCACGCCGGCTAGCAATCTGGCTGAAGTGGAAGACGAACACCCTACCCTACCGCCATTCAGATGGGGTGAACCGACGGGAAATCTCCCAGAATCCGGCATGGTCAACAGGGGGACCTACCGTCTACATCAGCGACTCACCTGGTTGGCGCAAGAGCAGGAGAGGACTGGGAGAATCGGCACGCTCATTTTCGGGTCGGAAATTACCAGGGACTCTTCTGCAGGGCCAAGCACAACCCGGGCGGAGGTTGCATCACAAACTATCACTCAACCAGAGTTACCACATGGTAGCGCGGGCGTAGGAGGGGGTGAAGGGTCAAGCGGGGGTGGTGATGAACTTCCAGGGGTTGACTCACCCGGTAGCCTAAGGCTTCCAAAATTGTTTCCAGCCGATCGGGGAAGACATGTGGTCACTTTCAGTGATACTACCAGCGTGAGAACAACTTCTCCGCCAGACTCGGAGCCTGGTCAACTAGACCAGCCTCAATCTCAGCCCACACTGGATAGGCCACCACAGCCTCGGCCGCGGAGGCCCACACCATCTTGCTTTGTAGGACAAGAGCGTACACCCGATTTCGTGATACCCACAATAGTTGTCGAAGACGGGGTTGGATCCCCCACCCCGGACACGTCTGGCCCAAGCCAGCCCGGACTACCCACCCATTGGCAACTAGAGCCTACTCTAATACTACCGGGTTTAAACAGAGAGCAAGAAGATGGCCGCACAATCACAAGAGGACCAGGGGCTAGGCGATCCCCCCTACTCCCACACACATTCGTGAACCCGGATGAAGGCACACGTACTCCCACCGCGGCGACCACCACCGCTACTGCCGCCCCCGTCACCCCCCGCAACCGCAGACTACCCACCGACTGGGAATTCGAATCCACCTTAACACCCCCCAGGCTGCGCAGAATGCAGCAACCCGACCAGACAACCCCTACAAGAAGGACAAGAACTCGCCGACCCCCACGCGTCCCACACACATCCCCGAACACCGCCGGCGAAACCACTAACCCCATCCCTCTAACTGCCTCTACGAGCACCACCACTTCTCCGGAAACCCCAATCATAACCCGTAGGCAGGGAGAAGTCTCAGAGGCCAAGCTTACTCAAGGAGACCAGCAAAACCCGGCCGAGCAAATCACCGGAATGCTTGTCCCTCGCAGACTACGCCTGGGGAAAATCCCCTCTCCTCCGCCGCTGTCTCCGCTGCCTCCGCTACCGCTCGCGAGCGGCGGGAGCGGAGCCGAGCAACCGGAATCCCAAACTCCAGCGCCAACGCCTAGGGAAATTCAAACGATGGAGGAAGCGGTAGTCAGTTCCATGATTGATCCCAGGATTAGGTTCTTCTCGCGGGGGAGGGATGGCCAGATCAGTGAGGATAGAGGGAACGTGCTCGAGATTGTCCAGAGGCAGTCACTGATTGACATGCAACAACGGAATATAAGTCTTCCGCCGTTTAGGCAGAGGGGGAGTGCGGGTGGTGAGAGCTCTGCTGTTGGGGGGGTTATGGGGGAGGGTGTTGGCGAGCTTAGTGGCCTGCTGGTGGTGGAGAATGGTGAGGTGCCGTTTGAAGGGAAAGGGAAGGGGAGGGCTAGGAGGAGATAGTCCACTGGGCCGGGAGCGTGAGTGGAGGAGGAGGGGTATTGTGCTAGTGCTTTCGCTAGGGATTGCTTTGCGCTCTTTAGCTATTTTGGCTACGCTCTTTTTTTCCGCTTGTTTCGTTTTTGCTCTTGCTTTTTTACTTCCCGAGTTTTTAATAGCGGGATACTGCGGACTTAATACCTTTATATCCCGTGCCGTCTACCCTTGAGTGCTAATGTTTGTTTATTTACTCGGTGTTGAAGATCTGCAAGAGTTCAAAGAATTAATACCTGCTTTTCGATTTAAATATCATCCCATTGTTTCTACGAGTGATACTGCGTGTCTAGAACGTTTTGATCAGGCTGGCCGGGGGCTGGGCACTAAAATGATATAGAAATACCCACAAAAGTCTAAAAGGTCCATGAACCATAAATCAAGATGTTGATATCAAGGATTGGTAAATCAAACTAGTCTCGGTCAGAAAATAGTAGAGAGAACGAAAGAAACGAAGATTAAGACACTGGTAAGAGATGAGAGGAAACACCCAGGCCTTTCCTCATTAGTGAAGGTCGCACATGGTAAATTAACTCCCAGCCAGGGCCCCGCCATATCAGGCAAGACTAGGCTCATATATAAATATATAGATCCGCTCTAGGCTGTATAAAATTCCCATCCACGGTATCTACCAGCAGATATATAGCTAAATCTGATTTGATAGCAACGTGTAGAGAATGTTGATATGAATGAAGCACGTGAAAATACCTGGCAAATAGCTTCGGGTCAACGTAGTATACTAAGATAACTGGCAAAATGCGGCAGCTGGCACTATGAGTCTCAATTACTAGAAGAGCATTTGCGGGGGTGAGGCACGTTCGACCAACATAGTCTGATCAAGCACCAGCGAGAGAAATCCTAAGAGGTGCGCTGGACTGGCACATTCCACTACCAACGCTCCCTCTACCACCCCCCCTCCGCGCAACCTCCCCCTCCACCTCTTAACCATGGGGCCTTCCCAGTCCCGTCTTTCCTTCTAGATTCCGGAGCTCCGCTCCTCCAATTCTCAGACTGGGGACGAGATTCTGGATAGTGCGCCGAAGGCCACTACGACTAGTGATTGGTGCTTCTTTGGTCTGTGTGGTGGGGGTGTTTTTCCGGATATATTAACTTATGTAACTTGTGTTTTGAAATCTTGGATTTTGTTATTCTGAGGAGGGGCAGAGGGGGGGGCCGCAAGGAGCGATGGTTCCTGCCTCACACAAAACGACCGTTTCTGACCATTTCAAAAGGGAAGGATGACCATTTTTATATGAGAAATGGCCGTGAAACGGAACGGTCCCACCGTTGTCAAACAGGCCCGTTCCACGGGCGGGGAGAAATTCCGTTTCCACAAACTTTGGATGAGTTGCTGTATAATATATAATACTTTCAGTGCTCTTCTCTGTACCAACTTATCTCATACCAGCCTAAAATATTCTTCGGGTTCATTATTACCTTATCCCAAATCCTCAATAACACCGTTCTCATTCTGATCCGCTTCTACCAAACCATAACCCTCCCTGCGGCCGGGCTTCTCTTCTACTCTCCCTCCTCAAACTCTGCCTATTCTTCGCTCTTTAACCTCGATGATGCGAGGTCCTCATTGGCTAAACAATTGCTATCATTAGCGGTATTCGTAAATCCCTGCATGGAATATGAATACACTGACCAATACCTCCAGCTTCAAGCTTTTCAGTCCCCAACCGCCTCCTCTTCTCCGTCTGACGCCCCCGCCCCCCGAACCGTTACATCCACGATGGGCTGGCCATAGCAGTTAAAATAAATCTGGAAGATGCTGTGGCAAAAGACGCACGCAATGCCTAACGAAACAGCGTAGAAGAGCAAAGGATTGGTAGTTGGGAAAGTGTCGACCAAGATCGATCGTTTTTTGAGGAGGAACCGGGTCACTCGTCTTTCTCTTATCCACAAGTCACGGGTTATGATACTATCCTATTGACCATTCATTCTCCAAACCTATTGGATAGGATCACCTACCGTAGCCCTACTCTTAAGGCTATAATACAGCCATCACACCATAAACCTAGAGAATAGGTTTCCATGTGCGTCCCGTTGAACCAATTTCCACCTGTTTTCGGAAATCACTATATGATAATGACTCTTCAGGCCGGGAGGCATGGGCAGAGGGATTAACAGGGTGGCGCCGCGATGGTAGTGCTTTAATGCTTCACAGACACACTGGTAGCACTAATGGATGAATGGATGGGAAGTGGCTTTGTTGGGTGTGGTGTCTAGCCACTTTTGCTAAGCTCTCATACCCCCAAGTGCTACTAGCCCTTGAAAACACTTTTCCTATTTTTCTATCGTATTACTCAGTAAGAGACAAATTGTGATAAATGTTGACAACGTCCCTAGAGACATCCGGAAATAGCCATCTAGAAAGGCTCCTGTTCTGTTGCTGTAGATAGGCAGTGTTCGTAGGACATAAAGGAAAGCATGAAAACTTTATAGACGCAGCTGTTGAGAAGTTATCAACGAATGAGCCACAGGCCTAGCAGCTAGCTCTATCTCCACCACAATGCACCACAGCCAGTGGAGGTCATCTGAAACCTGAGGTGTTTGATATCCCAAGTTACAGTATGGGAAGAAATCCCAGCTCGCGTATGATATTACGATGCATCACATTGCTCTCTTTCTATTTACCATCTACCTTGCAGCAGAAGCACTTATCCGACATATATCTCTGTTCAAAGAAAAAGAACAGCTCGCTTTATTCATTTTTGTCCCTGAAAAATGTATGGAAAAGGTTCAGCCCCATTAGCAAGAGATGCAAAGCAAAAAGCGGAAAAGAAGGGAGAAATCTCTTGCCCTCCTGCATATCCGACCGCCTCCTTTAAACCCCCTTTTCTTTCCATCTTCTGACCTCACTTCCCTTTCCCCTCCTTCCAAGCCTTCTCCCTCTTCTCATCCACCCTCCCTAGGAACGCCTGCCGGTCCAAGTAGGACTTGTCCCCGGAAGTGTGCTTCTTCAACTCATCCCCAATTCCCTCTTTATCCACAAACCCGGCCCAATCCAGACGACTCTTTTCCAAAGTATTTAGCTTCTGCGCGGGGGCTGGTGTAGCGGGTTTTCGTGCCGCAGCGGCAGAATCGAAAGCCGAGGCGCGCTTTTTAGGTGGTGGGCGGCGGGATGGCAAACCATTGGCCGGGGCGGGGGCGGCGGAAGGAGTAGGAATAGAAGGTGCGTAAGGTAGTGTAGATAAATACGTCTGCGCTTCTTGCGAGGACTTGGGAACTGTTTTCGCTTCCGAGACAACGTTGCCAGCGAATGTGTATGTTCGAGAAATTTTTATCGTTTCTTCGCCAAGTGTGTTTGTATCTTCCTTGTCGTTCCTCTCCTCATTCGGCATCTCCTGCTTCTTTGTCTCCGGAAGAGGACTCCTCCGTTTCGGGCTCGGCTTAGAATTCATCTGCCGCCATAACTCATCCACATCCGTCGTCGTCGCCCCCACATCCCCGCCCAGAACTCCCCCGGCCTTCTCCTTCTCGGTAGACTCTTTTAATCGCTGCGCCCGGGTCTTTATCAGCCCACCCTCGCCACCGGATATACCTCCGTAACTACCTTCCGACGAAGACGATCCCCTGCGGCGTTTTCGCTTCTGTTTGAGTTTTGTTGTCGAGCGTTCTGGCTCCGAGTCCGACGATTCTGACCCTTCCGCGGTGCGTTGTGGGATGGCGGCAGGGTCAAAGTCTTCGTCTTCCTCTGAGTTGTAATCTTCTCCGCCGGCTGTGGCTAGGAGGAGGGTTGTTGGATTGGGTTCCTCAGAGGGGGATGTTGAAGCTTCGGTTTGGGAGTTGTGGGGTGATGGTGTCATTATGGTCGTAGATGTGTGGGTTTAGGGAATGGGGGGAAGACGCGACGGTCTTTATCGGAGGCGGCAGTAGGCGCCTACGTAGGGTAAGGTGACTTTGAGTTGCTCAATAATTACTTTTCAGGTCAAGTAAAACCCTAACCCTAAAGCATGCTTCGTGAAAGAGGCTAGGAGGCTAGGAAGACAACAGAGCAGCGCCCATGAGGTTATGGTAGATTACAAACGCCAACAAAATATCTACAATCTATTGGTATACGACACACCATCTCCCTTGGGAGCTCAGAAGAGAAAGAAGAAAAGTTATACAGTGACCAACCCTTGGGCTTTCAGATCCATCAAAACGGTACCTTCAGCCATCTCCTCCAGAGTCTGCCAGAACATCCTCTCGGCAGGTGCCCTCACACTACCGTCACTGGATATCATATCCTTCTCTAATGCATCCTTGACGACCTCCTTAACATCGTCATACAGGTTCTCTCTTCCCAGCGCCCTCACAATCGACGTATAGACTGACAACGGTAAAGTCTTTTTTTCCTCCTCCATAGCTGCCATCACCGACCTTAGTCGTTCCACCTCTCCCATCTGAGCGTATCCAACGGCGAGACGGGTCCAAAGCTTCTGATCCTTGGGAACGTGATTGGCTTCGACTTGTTGCAATAGCTTCTCGACCCCTAGAAGATCGCCTTTCCAAAATGCATATCTGATGACGATGGTGTAGGTCGCAGATGTGGGCTTCAATCCCTTCGATTCCATTATCTCCCAAATGTCCTGCGCCGCCTGCTCGTTACGAGTCTCCAGTAACCCCTCAATGATAGTTGTAAAAGTCACTTCGTTAGCCGGCACTCCTACGGCCTCCATGTACTCCAGGAGACTCTTAACTTTGGCCAAATCCGGTTTGGTGGGAGAGTTTTTGTACATCCCATCCAACACCGTTGTCGCGGTGACTATGTCGGCATTTATACCAGCAGCTTGCATTTCCTGTAGCAACGAAATTGCCTCATTAAACTTCTTCGATCGAAGCAGTGCCCGTAACATCGTATTATAAGTCGTCAAATCCGACTTGATTCCCATTCTAGTGGCGACCTGGAGCGTTTCCTTGGCCTCGTCCATGTGCTGATGTTTCAGTAGCCCGTCGAGTACGGCGTTGATGGTAGCGGTGGTTGGCTTGAGCCCAGAGTTTTGCATGTCCTTCAAAACCTTCATTCCTTCTTTTGCGCGGTCGGCCATGAACAACGCGTGAATACGCGTTGTCCATAAGATGACATCGGGGACAACACCACTAGTAATGATGGTTTTCCAAACAGCCTGAAGACAGGATCGATCTCTGTCTTGGAGCCTCCCAGCCTCGACCAGTAGCATGTTCCACGAACGTGGCCTAGGTAAAATCCCGCTTCTCGCCATGTCGTTCCAGATCTCGATTGCGACTTCTCTTTCTGCAAGGCTCATGAAAGCCATAACAAAAACCATAAAGTTCTCCTCTAAGAGCGGGATTCCGAAACTTTCAGCTTGGGTTCTGAGAGAGTCGTAATAGTCCTTTAACCGTGCTCCGTCCTTGTATTGATCGGTCTCTCTCTGGAGAAGCCCGGGTACCGTGATTAACTTTTTGAACCCAAATTTCTCCGCTAGTTTCACAAGCCTGATTTGCATCTCCTCCTCAAAATAGTGATGTGCCATATATTTCCCAAGAAACGTGGCATTGGGAAGTTGAGGAAAAACGAACAAGGTTCTCTCCAAATCCCTGTGATGTTGGGTGGCAACCTCCATTGTATGAAGAAAGGTGAGATATATGGTCGAAGCGATAGCAGAAGGGCTGTGGGAAAGCCAAAAGCCCGATCGGAGAGAAGACCACAGCATATCTCGGTCTATATCACTCGTCTCCTCCCCCCCCTCAACTGTTTGCCGACGAGCACCGGCTTTGAAGTGGTCTTCCTTGTAGTACTGGATAGCACTATCAAGCACAGGCGCAACCAACTCCGGACTTTTGCCTTGTTGCAGCATACTAGTTAGTAGTAGCCGATACTGACTGTCGTTGGCCAGAGCCATAGACCTCAGGGTCTCGAGAAATTCCGCAGCTGGCGGTAGCTCGCGGTGCTGCGGTCCCTCCTCAATCAATCCTTCCAAAAGCAATTCAACAACCGGCTTTATGGCCTCATCCGTAACCTGCTCTGAAGTCGGTTCAATATTTCCGTGCCTCGGGCCCGAAATCTCTAGCCACGTAGCATATCCTCCAGGTAGGTCCCTATCTTCGAGGTGTTTCTCAAGACGTTCTAAGTCCCGACGAGATAATCTGAGAGAGGATTGCCTAGCACTAGGCAAGTTGAACAGAGGCCTGGTATGCGGAACCCCTTGTGGGAGTTCTTCTGGAGGGGTTGCCGCTACATCAAGGGCTGAAGGTGTATTGGGATACGCTTCTCCAAATTCCCGCCATCTAGGACTTGTGTGGAACGATCGCTGACCAGAAACCAAGACCAGCCGGGACTGTGGGGGCATCCGGAGGAGCCTTAAGCATGACCGACATATTGAAAAATTCGTTCTCTATTTCAAATCTAATTAGCCCACGCCGAATTTGCATTATCGGAGTTGGGACTCCAAACCCGTAACGCGGAAGCCATCCGTGAGAGTATTGCTCTTCGCGAATCTAATTTTCTCTTGCTTGACAATGGTGGTCGAAAAAAATGGACAGGGTAACCGACGCCCCGACCCGGTCGCTACGAGTAGACTACTTGTAGTTGAGATGCCGAGTCGATGAAAAACGTTCCAGACTAAGGGCTCGAGGCTGCTCGCTAAATTTAATTACGATACCATTGAAAACAGCACAGAGAACAGCACATCTAAGGACTTGACCGCGATAACCTCGTAAACATAGTCTAGTGTCGACTGTATCCCACAGTGCGACACCGGTACTCGAGCACAGTATCATAACGCAACCATCACCTAGACCGGCATGCTCCAACCGGTTCCCGGAACATACCGGTAGATGACTAAGGAGAGTTTGGCACTCTGTGGTCCCTCATAGCAGACAGAAGTTTTCCATTGTCGGTGTGATGACACAACTAATGCCGGTATCGGTCACGGGAGCACACCAAATTTTCAAATGTCTTGCTGGCCCAGGAGATTTGTTCCAACCGCCTGGCAATATATCACACAGATACTCGTACGAGTACCAAGACCCCAATACGGTAGGGAGGTTCACAGTACTCGGGTATCGACATACTGTAGGTGATGGGACAGGGTTAAGAAATCTATGTATTGCCATAGATTTCTTAACCCCTGTCCGTCCCATCACCTCTGTCCTTACCCTAGTACCCCGGTGGGTCAGCTCCCTGGACTCGGCCCAGGGTGGCTTCGCCCGCGAGAGCTGTGCTATGATCCCGCATTGTCATTTCTGGTGAGGGTCACCCTTTTCCATCTCCAATCGCCTACAGCAGCGAACCCAATACCGGTACCGGTATACCTCTAGCCATGACAACTCTAGACCCTCGACCTCCTTATTCTCCAGACGAACTTGCTGCCCTGTATCCATCAAACCTACAACTACATCTTGTTCATGTTATATTCCGGCACGGTACTGCACAAGCTCCACTCCTGAAAGCATATTGGACTGATGAAGCTAATTTATCGGGGGATCTAGGTGAACGGACACCCGTAGTATCACGTTTTCAGAATGCTGGACTTGCACCATGTAAGCTCGCCTCATTATCCCGTGCGTTGTGGGTCCAATATTGATGCTATATAGTTTGGCCCTATTGTCAGGCTGCCTCCCGATTCAAAGCCGCGGTAATGGAGCCCAGGGCGGGTTGGTCCTTCCTCACTTTTCAGCGTCGGATGGAGACCTTTGGGAAGAAAGGGGAAAATGTAGTAGCCACGGGTCCGGGTGGTGAGAGAGGTAATGTTTGGTCAGTCTACCCACCTGTGTTCCTATGAACGAAGGGTTAACAAACCCGGATGCTGTCGGCCGTTGGCCCTGGCCATTCCGATAATAGCCTCTTAGGGGAATTGACAGACCGTGGAAGGGAAACCACCCTACAGCTCGGACAGAGATTACGCCATTTGTATATTCGCCAACTCGGATTCCTTCCCGAAAATCTCGGATCCCAGTCGGAATATTATCTGCGGTATCTACAAGTCCGAAGGCATGAATCCCTATGAGAAAGGTAGACTAATCATGACCCTGTGGGATAGGGCTTCGCCGATAACCCGAGCTATTGAGTCACTTGAGCAAGTTTTTATAGGTCTTTATCCATCCACAAATAGGTCTCCCACGGATCCCCCGGCCACAATCTATACAAGATCCTTCGCCGAAGAGAACTTATACCCTAATGACTCAGGTTGCAAGCGTTTGCGTCAGTTAACACGTGCATTCTCCAAACTTGCTGCAGAGAAATGGAATGACTCCCCAGAGATGCAGCACCTGCAATCCCGTATCGGGAAATGGGTGGACGGGAAGATAGCTGTCGATGGACATCCCTCATTGTTCGGAATATTTGATAGTGTAAACTCGACGTTAGCCCATGGGGAGGCTACGAAACTTCCGAACGAGTTCTACGAGCCGCGGGTTAGGGAGATCATGAGTGATATCAACGTGGATGAGTGGTATCGTGGATTCAACCAATCATCAGAGTACCGAAGGTTGGGTGTCGGTTCGCTCCTGGGAGATGTTAAAGATAGGATGCTGGCTTCTGTCAAACATGATACGAATGAAGATGGTCGATTGAAGATCGGGTTGATGGGATGTCATGACACCACCATTGGCGGATTATTGGCCAGCCTTGGAGGGTTCGACGAAAAATGGCCGCCATTTACCAGCTCGATTGCTTTTGAGATGTTCCGAGAGAAGGAGCGTAACAAGAGCCGAGGTGTATTCTCAAAACTTTTTGGCGCCAAGAACGAGGAGGAAGGGTGGTATGTGAGGTTGAGGTACAACGATAAACCGGTTTATGTCAAGAGCTGCAGGGTGACCGGAAGGCATCTCGAAGGGGATGAGAGCTTCTGCACATTGGTAACGGGTGCCTATAACAAACCTGCACTTTATCCTTGCTAACGCATCATGCAGACGGCGTTCAAGGAAATCGTCGAGCGGATGGTGCCACAGGACTGGAAGGGCGAATGCCTGAGCAACGTGGACAAAACAGGAATTCCACCCATCGAGGAGGTGGAATGAATAATCACTGGTTTTCATTGATTGGCCCGAGCAAGGTTTCTGAGGAGGGGGGTCCAATTGGAAACAATGTTGCATCCTTCGATAAGCAATGCTGGGTTGCGAAACTACGAAATCAGATGAGCAGCTAAACATTAGAAGAGCTTAATTAATCCCCGCCCTTACTCGACGATGGCTCGCAAGGATGGGCTTGGTTTGCACCCAATCTTGTATCGAAATCTCGATTTGTACGACTTGAAGCGTCATGACTTGATTTATCAGCCCATTCGTATCGAAGCTTGCCCAGAGTCTCTTCTACCGGTACGAGTACGGTGTTCACCCCTATGCAATGTGCTGCGTAGCGCCGTGCAAGCAACTAGAACATAATAGAAGTGCTCAGCCCCCCGGAGTCGAAAAGGCGTTTTTCAAGTGCCAGGTTTCAAGCGGATCTGCCAGATTTGTATGAACCAAAGTCCCCTATCGGAGAAGCCTGCATCAAGGCTTTTCAACCCGGGACTGAATACCCTAATCAACAGAGTCTAGCGTATCCATACCGCTACCACTCCCAAACCAAAGCACATGCCACATCCTCATCCCCACTACTCAAGCCCAGGTCAAGTCAGATGAAGTCAAGTGAAGTCAATCCAACCAAGCACCTATCACAATCCCTCACTCGTAACTATTCCCTCTCATCCCAACCACCCATGTTGATCATTCAACAATAACTCGTACGGATTCGCCCCTCCATCCTTCCACCCTTCCCCCCCCCGCTAATCCATCGAATGCCGACCAAAAATCTCCCCCCCCCCCAAGAATAAAAACAAACAAAGAAAGAAAAAGAACCCTCACGCAACCCCACACAGCCATCCATCGAGTAGATGCCACTGTAAGACTAGTTAGACCCCTTCCTTCCCAAGACACCCACTTTTCCCTACCTAGCAAGAGAGATGACAAGTGAGTAAGTACAAGTACTTGTACAAGTAACTCGTACCGTCGTGGATCGCTGTCGCCACCCTATGTCATCGCACAGCTGGGACCGAGTTCCTGTGTTTCACAAGGCTGGTTGGGCTGGTAAGTGCAAGTGTTGGGTTGGGTTGGGGGTACACCGCATAGTACAGTGTCGTACGTGCCGTACAGCCCAGGCATCTCACCAGATGGCACCGCAACTCGCACATGAGAGGACAGTACGAGTACTCGAGTAGAATACCATACTAAATCAGTACTGTACCGTTCATGCCCGCAAATGTATGTGGAAGAGGAAGAGTTTTCTTGTTTTTTTCTTTCAGGGAAAAAAATAATATGAAAACAGAAATCCCATCTTGTTATTGCGTGGCGGGTTAAAGAATGTCAGAACCTTTCGTGGTATGATATGATTATCGATAACTCTGCAGTTTCCTCTTTCAAGAAACGGCTCGGCGTCAAGTTTGAGGGTTAGCTATTATATCATAATCATAATATCATAATTATTATGATGCGCGCCGATGGGGTTGTGTGTTCTGATAACGGTAAGCCTAAAGGTTCTTCCGGGTTTCGTTGTGTGGGTCTCGAGAGAAAGAAAGGTCGTATCATATCATCGGAGGCAACGCAGGGGGGGTTTGTCAAGTGAGCCCTGTGGTCCGTTGTCGTGCGGGCCGGATTATGGGAAGGGAGTGACTTCCAGGATTGGAATGGATAAATGATAAGATAACCGTATGATTGCTATGATGTCATATCTTGGAGAGTCGGGGTCAGTCAGTTACCGTACTCGTAGACTTAAATTATGTATCATACTCGAGTTACTATGATAGCATATGGTGCGAGGTAAAGTTAGTCAGTAAGTTAGACTAGAAGACAAAAAAACCTGATCCACCGGACCGACTACAACCCAGCTGAAACAAAACATAAACATTACCAACGAGGAATCCTTAGACTACTGTCCAGCGAGCAACTAGAACTCTAACGGTAAACCATCGGCTATCTCGCGACGAAATTTGACCTAGGCTATTCATCCCGTGGACCAACTTGATCAATTTGCTAGACCACGATGCGCTGTATTAGTCTATACCTGAAAAACCGAACTTACAGTTATGATAACTTGCGGAAAAGTGCACTTCACCATCATGCTTTTCCATGCGCAGTAAGTTAACGAGGCTGGCGGCGAAAAATAATGATAATAATCGCCAGTATGATAGCAAACATAAATCACAACCCATGTTTTTTTTTTTTTATATCATAAGCAACAAAGATGTCTCGAAAACAAAAAGTTATCATATCCATGTGTTCAGAGGAGAAGCTTCTTACAAGCCTTGCTTACACCTCAAGTTAAGTATTCCTCCTTCCGAAGTTGCTCATTTGGTTGTTGAGGTATCATAGTAGTCTAGTACGAGTAGAGAGGGGTGCTCAATCCCATCGCCTCCTGACCTAACTTATTACAGTATATATAATAATCTCCACTAGTAGAGTCACCGCACACCTCCGAACCGCTTTGGGACATGGGAAGTTGAGCGGCAGACATCATCACACTCGCCAACGTGAATGCGGGCACACACACACCCAGGACAATTATTTTTGCTGGTGGAATTGCCGTTGTAGCTCATCATCTGTTGTGGAACTCCGGTCCATCATGGTAAGAAATTTTTCGGACTGTGGTAGTCCAATGTCAAGTATTGTGATGATTCTGGTTTGCACAGAAGCATGCCGTTCACCATGTGGAGGGAGGGGTAAGAGGTCATTTTCAGCTAATGTGAATGAGGGAGTGATGTGGTCTTGATTACGATGCGTGGTTTCTACTAGTGATTTTCTTGTCGCCAGACTCGTACTGCACTCGAGTTTAGTACGGTACAGTGCGCTACGGTATGATAGAAGGGAGGAAAAAGAGAAAAAAAAAAGGAAAGAAGCCAGGGAAATCAGGCATATTCACGAACGCGGATAACTTTATTGTTTCCATCATCTTTCCCCCAGAAAGCATACTCTGCAAGTGGACTACAGCATCCCCAAAGGTTCAAGCAGACGTAAATCAAGTCAAGTCGTGTCGTGTCGAGTTAATTCAAAGCCAAGCTAAATAGAAAGACCAGCCGTTTGTTTCGTGACGTTCATCAATTGAGTGGGAAAGAGCAGGGAGAGAGAAATATCAAAAGTTAACAGAAAGTAGAAGCAAAAAAAAGGAAAGACCCCCAACGAAGTTATGCCATGTTATGCAATGCTATGCCATAAGACATCTAAATATGGTGGTGATGCTGTGTCAATCGAGAAGAAGTGAATTATGATAAATATGAGAAACTGATATTCCTTCCTTCACGCTTTCCATCCCTTCGCTTCCCTCCACACAAGCTCAAGTTCGAACGAGGGGTCAAATGGTGTGATGATGAATCAGTAAAACAGTTGAACCATGACAACAATTATGGCAATGATGGAATGATGGGATGAAAAGATAAATAAATAAGCGTAGATAAATGGCCTTTCCCTCCCTTTTTAAAACAAAGTTAAACGGATAAGACGACCCTAATCATCAATAACAAAGCAGAAGCAGAAACGGAAAGGAAAAATTGATGATGATAATGACGATGATGGCTATAATGAAGAAACGTAGGCTGAAGAGAAAGGTTAAAAGTGAAAAGTGAGGACAAATGAGAAAGAAAATCTGCAAAATACACATTTGAACAGGAAAGGAAAATGGTCTGAGAAAACAAAAAACACTTTGCACCTGAAAACACCATATATCAAAGCACATTATACAACAATTTGTAAGGAAAGAGAAAAAAGGGGGGGGAGAATCCTGCGAAGAATTAAGAAAAATCAAATACAAGAAACAATGTATTAATCAAAGCTCTCCTAGAGTATCTCATCAAGGAATCAAATGCGAAATGCGGTTAGAAAGCTATTACCGTATTGAAGGACCAATTGTTCATATTTCCCAGCTACCGGTTCCGTCCGCATCGTCCTGCTTAGGAGCTTACTCGAACATTCTGCCCCCACGAACGATAATCAAAACTATCGTCCCCCTCCTTGGCACCCGGAGGAGATAATCCGTTAGATCCCGAGGAACTATTAACAACACTTCCCAACCCCCCCCTTAAACCCTTGTTGTTGCCAGGGTTTGAGTGCGGAGGCGCCTGGGGTACCGATGATAACGAACATTTCGGAAGCCTTTCGGCTTGCGCAAAGCACTCCCAGTCAGCGAGATCCCACTGCCTCTTCTGTTGACACTCCACCTCAACCCCGTCCACCGATCTCCCTGCATCCTCCGACTCCGGCTCATCCTGCACATGCCCCACAACAAAACCATCCCTATCTCCAAACATAACCATCGGTTTCTTGTCCTCCATCTTATCGGGACTCCGACTCCTCCTTTCCATAATAAGGGGCCCCGGACTAGTGGTCGATGCGCTGAAAGGAGCGGAAACAGTGTTACTGGGTGGAGCGGTGAGAATCCATCTCGCCCAAGTATTCCCCGACAGGCGCTCCATTGGTACAGCCACCGCCCTTGGCTGGGCCCAAGCCGCACTCCATAGATATACCACACCTTGCTCTTTTGAAGGCTCTGCTGAGTTCCCATCACCACCTGGCGCACACTGAATCATTAGAAGATCCGGAATCGTTGGGTGCCAGCTAATTGATCGGATAGGATTCAGTTGAACAAGGACGGCGTACGGCCGGAGTAGTTTCAAAGACCAAATCCAAACGGTAGTTGGCATAGAATCATTTCTGGTAGCAATAAGTGTGCCATCCGGGTTATTAAACGCTATTGTTGAGATGCCAAGCTTGAGTTGACTGTCGGAAGAACTTGACGGTATTATGGGAAGCGTCGTTGGTTGTTGTGCCTGCGCATAATATCTCCCATGGGGTGGGCTTGTACATTCAGACCAAACCGTAACACCTGGAAGCCTAACGGTCCTCGTGTGGTTCATTTCAATCACCTACCCATCATAATTTAGTAACCGACCTATCAACTGGGACGGAGCTTAGTACAGGAGAGAATGTGTAGTTGCTCAGGAAAGCCAATCTCCCATCATAACTTCCAATAGTTAGAAAGTCTCCCCCAGGGCTCCATTCGACGCTTTTTACACCAAGGCCTTCGCAAGGTTTCTCATACGTTCTGTATAAATGCCCGTCCGCAGTGTATACAAGAACTTTGTATCCAGAAGCAGCCGAATCCCATACTGCTATCCATCGGCCACATGGTGACCACTTAAGGCCTTGTGCATCTAGGGTTGGCAATGTAAAACTTGACGCGAGTTTGTAAGTTGTGTGCTGGTGGACACTTATCACATCATGCGTTGATGAACGAGTGAGAAGTGCGAAGTGAGCAGTGCAAGGACGATAACTGTAGCCTACTTCAATCATCATTACTAATTCATCATGATTTCCAACGATGCATTCATACCTCTTGTAGGGAATTTTGGATTGAGTATCTCTATCAACTTTGATGTGGCCAAATTCCAAACGGTTACCTTAAGCTATTTTCACCCGAACCCAGTCAATCTTCGTGTCCTAGTACGGAAATTCCGAGAACCCCACCTGAAACTCAGAAAAGACAACAACTTCGTCTGCATTTCTGCCAAACTGAAGGTGCCTGATCCCTCCAAAGCCCTGTTTGATAACCGCAGTCCATTTTTCATCCTCCACATCATATACTTGGATTGATTGGTCGTCCGCCAGCAATACACGCTGTCGTCCACCGCCTTCTTCCTCAGACTTATCCACCCCGCTCCTTCTCTTCCCTATTACAGGAATTCCGTGCCATGCCGGTGAAGTGAATGAGCTGTTCAAATAAGGTGACCACTTGACGAAACTCACTCGAGACGCAAAGTCGGGGTTCAGTGGTATTGTTCGTTTTACTTGTAGCGTTGATGTTGAACGGAGTACAAGTCTCGGGTGCACGATCGAGGCAATTAACGACCCATTCGGTGAAGGTTGTGTGAAATGTGAACCTTTCGAATCCAAAAGGTTAACAATCATAGGCAAACAGTGTTGTCAAACGAAAGAAGAGTCCAGTGGCCATACCCCTAAATTCTGTCGAAAACTCCATGCTCGATAACGTGTTTCTCCGCAAACTATGTTGTAATTTAAGGACCTGGGAGGCAGGATCCTTCACTACTGCAGTCTTGTGTGGTGTGTAGAGTAGCAGGCAGAATGGACCGAGAAAACCAACCCCAGACCAACGGGTATTCCAAGAATAACAAAGAAGAAACCACAGGACAGCCACCGATCGATTTAGTGGTACCTACGTCAAGACCTTCTTGCTTATTGCCTCGGGGGAAAAGCAAGTTCTCTCCTTCTCCGGCTTTCGGGGACCCTGAGACTCGATACTTGGGTGCGTTTATGCAGTCTAGCAGGGCTCGAACAAAGTAGGAGAGAGAGGTAGAGCCCGATCAAAGAGAAAAATGTCGATTTGGAGGAGGATGTATGTAGGAATCGGACTGACAGTGGGGAGGTTGAGAGAGGGATGGTGTGTGGAAGGGATGGGTTGCTCGGTTTGGAGAACCAATGGGGGCCGTGTGGGCTAGGCTCACTATTTTGCTGGCGGGTCCCTTTAGAGGCTTTTTTCACCCTCACCTTCCCCGGAGTCCAATATTAGACTCAAGTTGGGGGCTTTTCCCCACCGTATTTCCCTCACTCCTCTTCTAGGGCAGCACTTTTTTTATTTCAACGCCAAGCAGCAGCGCGGTGAGAGAATGGACAAAACAATCAAACACTTGAATAGGCACCAGTGATAACTGAAGAATGAGTGGACGAGTGTGTGAGCGAGTGGGAGCGCCGCGGCGGGGTGGAGCGGTGATAGTGTTTGTTGTGGGCACGGCAATGAGCTGGGCGAGGGAAGAGTTGGTGGGCAGAGATTCGTGGGTATGACCCTTAGGGCGATAACGGGATTTCCTGGGTTGAGGTGAAGGCTACCAACCCTCTCTCTCGCAGGTTCGTCGCTCACAAAAAGTCACTGGGACAATAAGATAGATTATTTTCCCTTTTTTTTCTCGTTTGGTTTTTTACTGTAAAGCCTGCAAGTCTCCCTGGATTGCCCTGATATACAGCAGACAGGAAAGTCAGCAAGGAATCAGCACAGCAGAGACCCGGACAAAAGTCGGTGCGTCCCGAGAAACACGGTGGCAGGAGCGGAGTGGCAGGAGGTTTGGCAAAGAGGTGCGATATGGAGAGGGTGCTGAAGCATCACTCTTCCATGAAGTGTGACCGCGTTTGTAGGGAGGGAAGTCCGGAAGGGGGAAGGATGGAAGGTTCGTTTCGCTAGGCAGGGAGTGAAGCGCAGTAGCCTCGCGGGGGGGTTGGAGGGGGTGGTATGTTCTCACTCCCAATTCTCTTCCGATGGAATGGATTGGATGAGTGGATAAGTGAGTGGATGGATGGTATGGTGTGAATGGTGTGAATGGTATGGATCTTCTTCGTGATGATGGTAGTGACGGTTGAGGCAGGGGGTTACTCTAGAGCATAGTCTTCCGCTCTTCTCTCAACTCCCCGGGAGCCCATGCGATAGGTGCTGCTTGAGCACAGTACTGCTGCCTGCCTGGCTGGTCCGCTGTTGCGGTGTCGATGTCTCATGCAATGCGTGGGGAGAGACATTTGTGGGTGGGATTGTTGGAGTTAACGAGTACCAATATGTACCTAGTCCGACAGTAGTCTTCCTACCTATGATAACAACATGTAACTACCGATACCGGTACAACATTGGACTTTCTCTCTTCAAAGCACACTTTGAGAGACTTTCTGCCCATAGTCTACTTCTGTATCTCCCTGTGCAAGGCAAAGTATGTCGGTGTCTACTCTTGTACTCGTATCATACTCGAGTACGGTAGGGAGTGAGGCTTCTTCCACCTTTCCTCCTTCCTCGTCTGTTCCCAACGCAATTTCGCAGTTTCAACCGAATCCATAACGTCACTTCCGTCAAGGGTCCACACACGCATCTATCCATGCATCGGAGGGCCAATAGCAGCCGCCCTTATGCTTTTCCTAACCAAGGAATTATCACACAAAATATTTCCACCACACACTACTCGTACTGTACACTACTCCACCTTTTTTCCCTTCCCCCCCCTCCCTTGGCTGTGATAATAAAGCACCGGTAGGAAGATATTATTTATCTGTCTGCTCGAGTACTCGTACCGGACTCGAGTACCGGTAGTTTGCTGCTGTCGTGCCGCTGACTCCCCCTTCAATAATTCCATTTCAGGCAGCCATCGCCCCTACACAGCCTGATCTCCCCGCTGTGCGAAGTATGGTACAGTATGGCATAATACCAGTATACTCGAGTAATACCGGTACTTGGACTGGATGTACGAGTACGGCGCTCGAGCACTGGTGAAATTAATCGACACAACAGCACGGACTGGTTATTTCTTCGACTTTCATTGAATACCGGCTGGTATCCCCTCCCTTTGACCACCCCTAACCCTAGCATATGTTGTTAGCGGATCAGGGGGTAGGAAAGCCGATCATTGTTCAGAGTCAAAGCTAAACAGGGAGGGGGGGGAAGTATTATGGAACTCCGCCGGCCTGACTCCGCCCAATTCACATCACCGATATGGTGCTATGATACCTTTTCCATTATTATCACCTTTATCCTCGACGAACCCAGCCAGTCCCTTTCCCTGGATAATTGGGCTCAACTGCCCAGGATTCAGTAACTAAACCAATCATCTCCTGGCCGGCTTAATTTTCTCCTACTTGTATTTCGTCAGTGAAGGCGAGAGCCATGGTGACTTTCATGGATTCCGAACTTGTATGAGAAGGGAAGACTTTCGTTCTCGTGATCAGAAACGGGTGTACCATGGGTACGAGATGAAGTGACTAACGAGACGAGGACTACGGTACGCTACTCGAGTAGACGAACGATTAAAGGCGGCGAATAGAAAGCGCTGTATCCTCCCCGTACCGGTAGGAGGCGAAGATGGAGCTCAAAATAACGGCAACGGGGTCCACGGGGTATGATACTTCAGGTTACATTCGGTGCAAGGGCTGACCTTCCTCTCATTCCTCCCATCATCACCATCATAATCATCCTCATCATCACTACCACCCATCAATCCGTCTCAAAAGAAAAGTAAATCATGTGTACCCCACCCTGTCGTCCAACACCGAACACATCCCAATTGGCTTGATTTTATGCGCCTCTCAGCATCTTTTTTTCTTTTCGAGTCCCACCACCATCCCTTCCCCCTGCTTTGTAGCACCCTGATAGGCCAAAGATGGCTTCAACTCCCTTCCCCCCGCAGGGCAACGGTTGCTTGCTTCTTGCTTTCCTTGGTAAACCATTCCACAGACGTCACCGACTAACCAACCACCCGTGCACACCAATTGCTTGCTTGGGTAACCATTAGAATCTCCTGACCAGGGTTTGACACGGGAAGCAGACAACGCACGACGACGACATGGACTGTGGGATTCCACAAATGCTCGAGTACTGTACAAGTATCAATGTCGGTCGCTCGTACAAGTACTTGCAGCCTACCATACCGGTGCTCGATACTTTGGACACTCTCGGTTCGGCAAAGCTCCGCGAGAATACCCTTTAGAAAACCCTTGGGCCAGCAAGCAATGGCTCGCTCCAATCACCATCACCAGCAACATCTGTGTTGCTTCACTCAAGTCCACCATCATAGCACTCGTGCGTGGACTATTACCGGTGTTATTTATTTTAACAACCAAAATACCGGTACAAGCATTGAACCCCCATTTATTATATCTACGGTATCAACTCACCCACCTACGGCCATCTCCAGCGCCAACACACTCAAATCTGGCGGGCGTTTGCCGTCTCTTTCCATCCTAATTGCGCAAGAAGTACTTGTAAGCCCCTCACATGTAATCCTAGAACGGAGCATATGGTTAGATTCCGGTCTGTCGTGGTTGGTGCCTCGGAAAAATGTGTAAATTACTTCCTCGTCCTTTCGGGCAGCAGATCACCTTGGCCATTCCCGACCGACACAAACACCACACACACCTTGTGCTCAGCTACCAGTACCCCCGTATGATACTCACTTCAGTCACTCGCCTACCGTAGGGTATTTTTCATCTCTGAGCGAATGTAAATTTAACGGTACCGTAGCTGAACACTTGGTCCCCCCAGAACAAAATTATGCGAAAAAAGTGAAAAAGAAAAAGAAAGAATAGGACTAGCTCCAGTTAGGATACGTGAAGGGGATCACAGCGAGCGAGTTGTGTGCACGAATCACTTGTTGTACGAGTACAGTATTGCCATTTGAGGGAGAGGAGGAGGAGCCAGGAAGGGTGAAAAAGAAGAAAGAGGGGAAAATAAATTCCTCATGCGGAAGAAACCGTTCGTCGCTTTGTGCATTGCATGCATGAGAGATCTTCCTTTGTCTTGCTTTCAACCTTTCGAAACCCGGGAAGAAAGAAAAAGAAGGTGTGACCCTTCCCCCTCATGACTTCACCCGGGCAATTTTCAAATCCATTCTTAAATATACACAAGAGGAAGGAGGCCTACCGTACGGTACTCGTATCATATAAGTACAAGTACTCGAGTAGACGGAGGGCTGACTAAAGAACTTCCCCCAAACCGCTCCGCCGAAGGACATTTAAACTAATCGGGGCTACTCCTCCTTTCATGAGGGTACCCAGATGAGGGAGGGTCCCGGTATGATATCGTACCAGCATTCCCCCTTCCATTCCTTCACCCCTTATCGCACCACCTACACCTCACTACTCGTACCTTATCCAGCATCGTATCATACCCATACAGACGGGGAGGAGGTGCTCGAGTACCGGTAGGCAGGCAGGTATCATATCATATCATAGGATGCTGGCCCGTAAACTTGATGGTACAAGTAGGGCTACCAGCATTATCCCCAGCCAGTAGATTTCGGCGGAGATGCGATCAAACACCTCTCTTACAAAACGGTGCTCGATAACACACACCCTCCCTACTCCAAACTTACGATACCACACGATAGAAATACCTTACTGTACCAATCCCCACCCCACAAACGAGCGATAAAGTGCCGCACGGCGGTATTTCCCTCTTCCACCTCCTTCTCACCCCTCCCAACTCTTTACACCTCACCAGCCACGCAGTCTGCACCTCACCATAACTACAGCCATCACGAAATGAGTAAAAAGAATATCGAAAACATAACCCCCCAAATCAGGTCTCGATATCCGTATGACACCACAAGAGAGGGAAAAACTACTCGAGTGCCGTGCAGAAACAAAGTCGCTCCAAGGCGACAACACGCGGGGAATTTATGGCTAAACTACCGGTATTTGGTCATCTTGCATAAGGAATTTATATTAATACCCATGATACTTCTCCTATAATATTTCCTATCTCTCCTCATCCATCCCCTCCCTCTCATAATCTCACTCGCTTGCGCAATACTACTCCTATTTCCCTCTCACTTTCTTCCTTTCTCCGTTCCTCCCCTCGTTCCACAGCAGTCCGTATTCAACCTTGGTCTAGTCCAGATGAAGGGATTGAGAGTCGGGAAAAGTTTGCCCGCCGTACTACGGTAGACCACGAGTGCGGTGGAATAATATATATATTGTACCGGTACTCACAGGGAAATGATCAGGAAAAGGTGAGAGCGGCGCATAAGGTCCGGTGCTGCGTTTACTTTACTCGAGCACCGTACTGTACAGTACTCGTACTTGCTTTGCTGGCGGCCATCCAGCCAGCGAACCATCTCGCGCAATAACCTTGCTGTGCAGTACCCCCTCCCCTAGCCTATCGCGGTACGGCACTAGTGCGCAAGTAGTAGTGTAGTGCAACGCTGCGCCGCACTCACGGAAGCTGAGATTGGACCAAGCCTCATTGTAAGAAGAGGTGGCGCTACCTCCCTCCTGCTTTCCTCCTGTGCTCTACGAGTATTGATAATGTGCAATGTGATACCGCTACCGCGCTGCACTTGAGCACACAACGCAGGACACACCTCCACCATCCACACCGCACAGCATAGCATACGAGTAGCACGGCATACCGGTAGGATAATAGCACGCCGCAGGGCGGTAGGATCAAGTGCGGTCGTCGTGGCGAACAAAAGCCAAAACGTGGGATGGATGCTGTGGTTCTTATTATCATCTCCGCGAATAGGTCGTTTGTTGTATGCGTTTTGTGGGACCAGATGCAACTAGTCTAACTCCATGCTAAGCGCCTTATGACACAACAAACAAATTTACGCAACTTGGCGAGTTAATCTACCGGTAAGCGAGTCCAGTGAGGTTTATAATCCTGGCGGAAAACTGCTCACCTCACCGAAACTGGTACCGGTGTTATTGCTTACTGTAAACCCACTCACGCACGCACGCGAGTTGTTTGCGGATCGGTGGATGGGGATACATATCATCATATCAGTTTTGGAGGCATGTTTTTTTGGATTTGTATGATGCTCCGGGAGGTTTATGATATCGTGGATGGATGGTTACCGGTGCGGTGCTGGTACGGTACCGTAGATAAATAATGGATAAATAACTCTGTCCTGTGTGCGCAC